ACTATCCATCTATTGACTCAAATTGTTTATCAGAACTTAACTTGTAAAAAACGGAAGATTCTTCAGCATTAAAAAATGAAAACATGTTGTTTTAACAGTTACTCAGAAATTAGAAATAATTAACCACCTTAAAAAACGACAAAAGCAAGAAAAATATAATGAGAAATTTTATCATCAAATTATCTACAATTTATAATATTAAATCTTAAAAAAAAAAATATTAATGAAATTTGTTGCCTGCAGAAACTAGCAGAACTTCCTTTGAAACAAAAATTTCGCAACATCCTCAAAATGGAAATTTAGATAAAGTGCTGCATGAGTGGTTTAAACTGAAACGAAAAGGTGTTCCTGTTTCTGGGCCTATACATATTCAAGAAACAAAAGATATTTTCGATTTAAAGATTTTAACGTTGGGAAAGATTGCAAATTTTCAGATGGAATGGCTTACTTGTTTAAAAAAAAAGTCATGGAATTTACAAGATCGATATGTGAAAAACTTTCTGCCGATAGATAAAGTGCTGTTGAGTATGTTGCTTTTTTACTATTAAAAAGAAATAGCACTAGAAAATATTTACAGTGTGGATGAAATGGGTCCAATATTTTGATATCTTTCAACTTAAAATTTTTCAACTTAAAATCTTTCAACTTAAAATTTAGGAAATGCTAATAAAACATCTACTCGCAGATTAAAAAAAAAAAAGAACGGATTGACAGTTTTAACTTGTGTGAATGCAATTAGATGGCACAGAATAAAATTACTACATACTGATTGAAAAATCCAGACATACTCGAGCACTAACAGGTATCAAATATCTCCCTTTGGCATACAAATATCAAAAGAATGCTTGGATGGATAAGGAATTTTTTTTTACTGGTTCAAAAGCATTTTTGTGTCATGTATTGTGAGTTAATTGAAATCTAAAAGAATCAACTGCATCAGAACAAATGTTAATGTATTAAAAATTTAAGAATTCAATTTATTCATGAAAAATATGAAGAAAAAATCCTTCTCAATTCTTTTACATGCATTTTGGCCAAAAGTCTTATAATTATTTAAAAAATTTGGTATTTAACATGCTTTCCTCTCGATTACTTTTGGCAAACAAAAACTGTAGCTATATAACGTGTTTTAGGGCCAATAATGTATAAGAATAATTCCACTATACAATCATATGATCTTCACCTTAGTTTTATGCAAACCTGATTAGTTCTCAATAAGCTGGTTTAGTTTTTTAAAAAAGATATAATTTAACTGCTATTTATCGGTCTATTTTTGAAGTTTAATAAAAATTTTTTAAATTTGGGATCTTAATTCTATGAAACAGCATGAATATTTTCAAAGTTGTGCATGATAAAGAAAATGTGATTTAATGGCCATCGCATGTGACCTTTACTTGAAAATGAATAAGCAATGGAGATGCAATGCACAAAATTATGATTCATGATTTAAGTTTTTTATATATTACATCTGTAACATGAATCCTATGATTCTACTTTTAAAAAAATTGCCTTTTTTCATTTAATCTTCTACCAGAATGACTGGCACAAGTTTGGCAGCATCTCCAACCAAATTTTTATGGTTGACATTTTATAACTGGATAAGATGTTTTAATGTTATGCATTGAAGGCATACACAATACATAGGATTTTATGAGGAGTTCCCCCCCTCAAAATCTTACATAATTTTAAATGTAGGCTTTTGATACTATTTAAGCTGATAACAAATATGATTACTGTTTTTATGACTTTAGACTGGAAATTTCTTTCAGCATTCACATGGTTTTCCTACCACAAACTGCAGTTTTATACGCTCAACTATCTGGAAATTTCGCATATCTGGATTTTAGCATTTCTCAAATGTTCTGAATAGTCAAGCTGCATATACTTAAATACAGCAAAGCAGAAGAAAAATCAAATCAAACAAAAATGATGAAAACAGTGTAAACAACAACATAAAAAAATTGAGAAATATGGAAAAAAAAAGTTTTTTGAAAACTTAAAAACTAAATAATGATTTTGATGAAATTCTGTAAATGATTTTATTTTATTTATTGAGAATTTATTATTTTAGAATATTTAAATTTATTTTAGAATCTCAAAGTATATATGCCTTTTATTTTATTTTATTTTAATAACTGTTGCTCTGAATTATTTTAGAATTATTTTACTTAGAAAAAACATTATTAATCAAAAATATTTTTCACAGAACAAATAACAAAATTATAATGAATATTTGGTCATGACATTCTTAACGATTTTTACCAGACAATTTTCTTAAAAAAATACAACCTTTTTTTTTAATAGCCCAAATGCATAAAACACACAAGAAGATGCCCAACGTTCTGATTTCGGACTTTGTACTACTTTTAATTTTTTATGAAATTATGCAATTAACAAAGTAAACATACTTCTTAATAATTAAATCTTTATTTTATTTCCTAATATTTAGATTTTATCTTATTTTTCATAATTTACCTAATTGATATAATTAAGCATATTTTAACTTATATCATATTCAAATGTTATGAAAATCTGCAGCATTAGATGAATTAATCACTGTTTTTATTGCCATATATGATGTATCACAACACAGAATCAATTAATTTTGTATCACAAATGTCATTTTACAGAATGTGCACATAAATTTGTGGAAAACAAAGAAAAAGTTTAAAAAAATAAAATTAAAATCTTTTTTGTAAAATTTTTGTATTATATAATTTTTTGCATGAACTCCTCAAAAATATTTTTCTTGAATAAATTTTACTTAAATAAAATAATGTTGAAGATTTATTTAACTGAAATAAAGGACATTGTGGCATCAAAATTTAAGCTTAAACAAGCCATCTGCAATACTTGTATATAACTTCACGGCATCAAGACTGGCAGACAGAGGAGTCGGAATAATATAATTTCCTTGAAACTTTGGTTCTGATTTTCTTGCTTACTTCTTCACACCTCAATGACTTCCACAATGTATTTACATGAAAGTATTCTACAATTATTCGCTAGAGAGAGTTAGAGCAAGTTAAAAAATTAATGATCATTTAACAGTCTGCTATCAGTAGCTAATTAACTGTTTTAACTCCCCTTGTTTCACCCTTCCTAATATGATTAGGGAAATGACAAGCTTAGAAATTTAATTTCACTGAAATATCGCTATAAATATTGTTTTAGTCAGTAAGTAAAATATTTATGTGTAATACTAAATTAGTGTCAATACTAATGTTTATGTGTTACTTTCAGATATAAAGAAATTTTATTTCTTAAGAATTAAATCATTACTAGATAAACCTTAATTTCAAAACTGATAAAACATTAAACAACAAAAGAAAATATATACTTCTTGAACTTTTCTAATCCGTCAAGCATCATCTCTTCACAAGAACAATTTTTCATCAAAAATGCAAATTGGTGACATCTGCCCAACTTTTAATTCCAGAGATTCAATTTTTTTACTTTCTTGAATCTCACATATGTTTGTATTATCTTCAGTTGCTGAAACACAGAGCATGAAATAAATATATACTTATTATTAGAAAATTCTTTGTAAATAAGTCTATTCAGTAAATTAAATATAAAACTACTACAGACATGTTATTTGAATTTATGAAGTTTGCAAATTGTTCAAAGGTTAGTGTAAGTATTTCAGTAAGTCATTTCTTAACTGAATTTTTAGAAAAGTTCACTTTATTTATGAAATGGATCAGAGGGGAAAAAGGGTTACATCGCTAAATAAGCTAAATAACTCTCAGTTAATTCAGTATAATTCCGGCAGATTGCATCTTCTAAATCTTACGCTCTATTTTCAAGATTATAAAGGCTTTATGAATTTCTTGAATAAGTATCCTATAAGATATGGCAGATAACATTATTGTAATAGACTAATATCTATGTCTAATCTTAACACAGTAAAAATGCTCCTCCCAATTATTTAGATTTCATAACTAACATCATCTGACAGGTAGATCTATTTGTTTGAACAAAGTGCTGTTTTTCTTAATAAATTATGCAAATTAACAGAAGTAAACATACTTCTTAATAATTTAAATCTTTATTTTATTTCCTTAATAATTTAGATTTTTATCTTATTTTTCATAATTTACCTAATTGATATAATTAAGCATATTTTAACTTATATCATATTCAAATGATAGTTATGAAAATCTGCAGCATTAGATGAATTAATCACTGTTTTTATTGCCATATATGATGTATCACAACACAGAATCAATTAATTTTGTATCACAAATGTCATTTTACAGAATGTGCACATAAATTTGTGGAAAACAAAGAAAAAGTTTAAAAAAAATAAAATTAAAATCTTTTTTGTAAAATTTTTGTATTATATAATTTGTTGCATGAACTCCTCAAAAATATTTTTCTTGAATAAATTTTACTTAAATAAAATAATGTTGAAGATTTATTTAACTGATGAATAAAGGACATTGTGGCATCAAAATTTAAGCTTAAACAAGCCATCTGCAATACTTGTATATTAACTTCCACGGCATCAAAGACTGGCAGACAGAGGAGTCGGAATAATATAATGTTCCTTGAAACTTTGGTTCTGATTTTCTTGCTTACTTCTTCACACCTCAATGACTTCCACAATGTATTTACATGAAAGTATTCTACAATTATTCGCTAGAGAGAGTTAGAGCAAAGTTAAATAAAATTAATGATCATTTAACAGTCTGCTATCAAGTAGCTAATTAAACTGTTTTAACTCCCCTTGTTTCACCCTTCCTAATATGATTAGGGAAATGACGAAGCTTTAGAAATTTAATGTCACTGAAATATCGCTAATAAATATTGTTTTAGTCAGTAAAGTACTAATATTTATGTGTAATAGTACTAAATTAGTGTCAAGTACTAAATGTTTATGTGTTACTTTCAGATATAAAGAAATTTTATTTCTTAAGAAATTAAATCAGTTACTAGATAAACCTTAATTTCAAAACTGAATAAAACAATTATAACAGACAAAAGAAAATATATACTTCTTGAACTTTTCTAATCCAGTCAAGCATCATCTCTTCAACAAGAACAACTTTTTCATCAAAAATGACAAATTTGTGACAATCTGCCCAACTTTTAATTCCAGAGATATCAATTTTTTTACTTTCTTGAAATCTCACAATATGTTTGTAATTATCTTCAGTTGCTGAAACACAGAGCATGAAATAAATATATACTTATTATTAGAAAAATTCTTTTGTAAAATAGTCTATTTCAGTAAATTTAAATATTAAAACTACTACAGACATGTTAATTTGAATTTATGAAGTTTAGCAAAATTGTTCAAAGGTTAGTGTAAGTATTTCAGTAAGTCATTTCTTAACTGAGATTTTTAGAAAAGTTCACTTTATTTATGTAAATGGATCAGAGGGGAAAAAGGGTTACATCGCTAAAATAAGCTATATTTAAAATAACAACTGGCATGTAAGAAAGCCAACTCTCACCTTCTTAGCATGCCTTCGTGGTGCAATGGTCAGCACGCTCGGCGTGTTTTTGAGAGGTCCGTGGTTCGAATTCCGGCAAGGGCATTGCTCATTTTTCACGTCTTCTGCTTCGAAATAACTTAACGTCTCTACAGCCTTTTCAGTGTTAGAGAAAATGAAGACTAGATGGTTTCTTTTTATAAAGGCTTTATGGATAGAGGTTTCTAAAAATAACATGTTGTCAATAAGTATCCTACCTCTATGGAAACCAAGCTGATATGGCAAGATAACATTATTGTTTTCTAGGTAATAGACTAGGCGGCTGTTTACCATTTTTTCAAATAATTTGCCGAGACAACTGGTAAGCGCGATGGGCTAATAGTTAGAAAGATTTTTTGGGTCTTTCCCTGAATATAATCATTAGGTGGAAATGACTACAACTTTCTTCCATGTATTGGGAAATGTATGCTCCTCCCACACAATATTACAAAGAGTAAGAAGGGCAGTCTCACAGGACATATGCTTCAGCATTTCATAACTAACATCATCTGGACCCAGGTAGATCTATTTGTTTGAAACAAAGTTCTCTTAAGCTCAAACATGTTAAAATCAGCATTATAAGACTCCGAGTTTGGAAGAGCTGAAAAAAAATGGGAATTTTCTCAGGGTGTAAGCTTGTAAGGAAAAAATTCTGGTGGATAACTACTGCTATTAGAGACTGCAGCAAAAGTCTCCCCGATACTTTTTACAATTTCTTCCGTGGTGTTAAACACGCGGCCATCTGTTTCCAGAAAGGAAAGCGAGTGGTCTTCATATATTCCGCATTCTCTGTGAGCTCTACCCATACTCATTTACTTGCCGTAGAGGAAATTATCTAAGACACGTAGAAAATCCATGAATCCCTCTGGCTCTGACGTCTTACTTTTCTTGCATTAGCTTTGGCTCTTTTGAAGGCGATTAGGTTTGATAAAGTGGGGCATTTACTTAAACGTCCCCAGACTTTCCTTTGTTCTCTTATAGCATTTTGGCATTCACAGTTCCACCATGGTTTACAGCATTTATCACGACTTACTAGCTTTTGAGGTATAGAGACAGCAGCTTCCTGGATGATAGTGTCTCCGACGGCATTCACTGCTGCATCGATAGGCACATTGTTCACCATTTCCTCATTGATCTCTGCGAATACTGAAAAAGGATCCTAATTTGCTCAATTAAAAATAAAGTGTACGGGTCTTTTAACATCATGATTTTAAGTTCCTCGAAAAGAGATAAATATTGGAAAATAGTCGCTGCCAAAGGCGTCATTTCCGACATTAAATGAACAAAGTGGCAGCAGTGATGGAGAACAAATAGCAAGATAAATTACGTGAAAAGTCCTTGTAGGTTGATGGAACCTTGTAGGTTGATCGTGACCATCGTTTAATAAACATAATGAGTGATCTTCATTTACTTTCTCAATCTGTCTCCTCGGGAGTCCAGATCCTTACTTCCCCAGGGAGGGCTATGAACATTAAAGATTCCTAGCAAGATGAAAGGTTCAGGCTACTGTTCTATAAGATCATTCAAATCTGTTTGATCGACATAATCATTAGGTGATAAGTACACACAACAAACTGAAACCACATTATGAAAATTTATTTGCAAAGCGACAGCTTGGAGGCATGTTCTCAAATGGAGGGTCTTCGATGGAAGATTAAGTGAAGGTAGGAGGCCTACACCTCCAAAATTCTACTCTCTCATATTATTATCTTTCCTCGCGAAGGAATACATCTGAAGCTTTGCTCGCTGCTCTTGTTTCAGCATTGTTTCTTGGACTGCCAAACAAATAGGATGATAAACATGGATCATATGTTTTACACTATCGAGATTTTGGTAGAACCCATGTCAATTCCAAGAGATTAGGGTGGTCATTATGTATGATGTTTATTCTTTTTGTGCTGCTGTTTGTTTTTGTGTGAAAGAAGATGTCTGGGAATTTCTAATCCATCTTCTACCTCCATATTATCTGAGTCTATTGATTCTGAAATTATTCATCTATTGGTGGTGTTGCTTATGCTTTTATTCTTGGTTAATTTGGGGGCAGAGAAGTTTTTTTGTTTGTTTTGAACTATAGTTTCCTTTTGTCTTTTTTTGTTGCTTTTATTAATTTCTGCAGGTTGTTGAGTGTTTGGTGTAAGTTTAGGTATACTGAAAGAGCTTTGAGTAGCAATAGACCTAGTTGACCTTACAAAAGCAAAGAACGATTTATTTAATCATGGTTGTGAATTTTCAACTACCCTTCTCGCTTCAGCATAAGATACGTTCCTTGTTACTTTAGTTGCCTGAAGTTCTTTTTCAGATTTCAACTTTGGGCATGCATGAGAAAATGCTGGGTGGTCACCCTTGCAGTTTATGGACAATGGCGCAGCAGTGCAATTTTCACTATCGTGACCAATCTTCGAGCAGCCTCGCTCACACGTCAGGTTGGCATGACAGGAAATCTTTGAATGGCTGGAAACACTGGCATTGAAAGCATCACATACAGTTTGGAATATAGGGTCTTATGGGAGAGTTAAGCTACCCAACCCAGTCTTTATATTCTTTGGCAGATCAAGCGAGTTGAAGGTCAAGATCACGTGTTTAGTGTCAATCAACTGACCTTACTTTCGCATTTTAATCTGCCTAGCACCACAGATATTTTGACCCGCAAGCTAGGGAACAAACTCTTCTTCTGAAACAAACAGAAGGTTGACTTCCAAGATCACCCCTCCATAAAAATTCAGTGTCTTATGTGTCATTACATTGACAGTGGTTTGTCCATGTGTTGTTGTTTGAAGCAATGAAGCAGACTAGGTGACTGAAGTAGCATCGATAATCAAATCTCCAGGATGGAGAAGCTTTATATTTCTAGGCTCACCAACAGAAGCATGAATATATTTATTTATTAAGAAAGGAGACATCTTATGCAGTTCACCCAAAAGGCTAGACAGTATGAGGAAACGTGGACAATTTTTTTTAGATTATTAGTACTTACATCAATGTGTATTTTTTTCGCAGTATTCCTTTGGAGATGGTTCAGTATTTTGTTGGACTGGACTAGAATCAGGATGCATAATAATACAAATACTTCATGCAATGATGAAAAAAATAAGATTCAGGTCCGACCACCGCACCACCACGGAGCCCAACGAGAGAACACAGATTCCTGATTCCCCACAGTCAGTTTTCCCAAAAGCAGGTACTCCCAAGAGCTTATTCTCAAGCCATTGACACAGGGACTAGTAACCAGCCGACTGACACCCGTAAGGACAACAAGGTGCCTCCTGTTTAGCTGAAGCAGAGGCCAAAGCAGTGTGTTGCGGACAGTACCTCGGCCCTCAACTACCAGGACCCTCCTTTCCAGCAACACAGGTCTCCACGCACGGCAAACACGTGGGCAGTTTTTCACCACTCAAAAGCTACATACAAGAGCAGTTCCAGTTTCTCATGATGAGCCCCAACCTCGGAAGAGGGGAAGGAAAAAGTTCCAGCCAAAAAAAGAGGAGATGGAAGACAGGATAGATCACATGGCCTCCAGGATCATGACTTCCATCTCACCAAGATGATCCCCTAAAGGGTTAGGGCACCACGAGATTGCCACACCCGTACTCACAAAAGTAAGTCCCTGAGAGGTTCATTACCTCAACATCAGTTGATGCATTTATTAGACCATGGGATCAACTTGTCCACTTCGTTTCAACGAAAATAATCTCTCGGGCTATACAGTCAGTTCTTGGCAGCAATTTAAGCTTTACTGTAGGAAAAGAACCTTCTTTCCTACAAGGGGTCTATCATTCATGGGAATAGAGAAAAGTTATCTACTAGTAACCAATTCAAGAATATATGAAGGATTACCCATTTGTAGCACTGAAACAAACATTGCAAATGCAAGGCATTGTGGAGCATGCATCATCGTTTTGAAGAAGGATAATTCATCAAATAACATGCCTGGTCATTTGCCGCGAATGACCTCACAGCGGCACCAAAAGCAATCAGCATTAATAGTTTAGCCACATTTCAGGAAATCCTGCAAAATATCTCTGGAAGAATCCCCAAAGGCAGTGACCATAACTTTGACAGCCTTTCTCTCTCTCTCTCTCTTTTTTTTTTTTTTTTCTAAGTCCACCCAACATGTTTGGTTTATAACTGGTTCTTATAATTGTGGGAATCGAACAATGTAACCAAGTTTCATCCCCTGCAGCAATGAGATAAAAAATTGCTGTTCAGCCATAGCATAATATTGAAGAAACGAGAGGTTCATTATTCATGTGGTTTTTCATTTGTCATATAAAACACATGGAAACCATAGTGTACAGGCGTTTGAGTATTGTAAAACTTTGTAACGATATGTTGCACAGTCCCTTACTCTATACGAGCAAAGGCATACAATGTTATTCATTAATCCTTACAAATCATTTCTTTAACTTGTGCTGTGTCTGTTTCTACTATTGATAAATGTTCATTGCATGTTTGGGAATGGCTTTCCATATCCTTTTTATTTGCTTAAGATAAAAGCACCATTTTGTAATATGTTATCTGCTCATTGCGCATTCATTGTTAACTTCAATGATTTGATGGTGAATTTCAATACACAGAAAAATTCTTTGCCTATGAGAAGAATATTATGCTTTGCACTTAAGAATAATAAAAATGCTTATATAAAAATAGTTCACCATACAAATGAGCAAAAATAATAATGAGATAATATTATTTACCTTCAATATAATTTAGAAAGTGCTGAGTTGAATCAATGCATGATATTTTGTTTTTTTCTCCATCTAATTTGTCTTTTATCCAGTCGTTTCCAATACGAAAGCAAGGAATGAAAACATTCTTTAATGGGTTCATAACAACTGCATTCATTGAAGCTTCTTTATCACAATTCACAGAAAAACGTCCGCATACAGTTCCCTTTAAAGATCAGAAGCTTATTAAAATATAAAATAGAAATAATGAATATGATGTTAAAATAAAATATTTTCCAACTATTAAATAAAATTTTCAGTATTTTTACAGAAGATACATACGTAACTTTGAAATTTTTGACAGAGTTAAGAACAATATGAAATAAAAGAAAATTATTTATTCAGTGTGTAATTATGAAATCTTTGATATTCACAGATGATAATTTGAAGCGATATATCTATCGTAGAATAAATTTTAAAAGAAAGGAAAATACAGCTGACAAGAAAACATTATCACGATATAATTTTCTATAATTTATTTAAGTGGGCCAAATCAAAAAGAATGCCTTCAGCATCTAAATTAGCATATGGAAATGAAGCTCCATCTCCACTGACTGTAATTAAATAGTTAACAGAATTTCATAAGGGTTGAAATTTTCTCCTGGATAAAGAACACACAAGAAGACCTTTATCAGCTGTAGTAACAGAAAATGTATCGGTCATACGAAAAATGTTAATCTGTGATCACTGATTAAATGATACAGAAGAAACTTAACATTAGATCATAGTTATATATATAACTATTTATGAAGAATTACTTCTGAAAAAATTAGTTTTTTGTTAGGTTCCCCATAAATTAACAGATCACCAAAATGCAAAGCATGTCGGAATCATCACGGAAAAATGTTAAATAACTTAACGATGAGGGACATTGCATTATTTCTAAAATCATATCTGGAGATGAAATATACATGCTACTTTTTGACGCTCTGACACATCAAAAAAGTAAAGCATGGGTCTCCTGAAGACGAACTCAAATTAACAATAGGAAAAGAAAATGAGCACTGAAATGTGTAATGTATGCCATTTTCTTCAGAAGTAAAGGACTGGTGAAAACCATCATTTTAAAGGACAGAAGATAATTACAGCTAATTGGTTCAATACCAAGTGTCTTTCAGAAATTCTTCAACAAGTGAAAATTAGGGGGACTCCTGCTTCACCATGATAATGCATGTTCTCAGAGAAATTGACAGTCCCATTTCTTAGCGGGGGGGGGGGGGGGAAATTAAAATGAGAGAACATTCACCCTATTTTTCTGATCTTGCTATGGATGATGACTGTAGCTATTTTTTAATCTAAAACAAAATTTACATGGCTGGCTGTTTTTATTCCAAAGATCATATTGATGAGCATATACAAGCATATTTTTCATTGATTCCAAAAACGGTTGGTTTGAAGCACTTACTCTTTGGAAAATTGGGCTACAAAACTGCATTAATATCGAAGGAAGACCTCTAAGATTTGGTAAGTTTAGCTGGTACCATTTAACTGCATCTAAAAAATTTCAGAGTGACCCTCGTATTTGCAAACTTCCAATCATTTCAAAATTTCTAACTCACAGAATCTTATGTATATTCTCCTTTCTGAAAAAGCTTTCTGAAAAATCTTTAAATTATACATATCTTCCTGTAATAAATGAATTAGTAAAAAAAAAACCAAACTTTCCACAAGAGCAATTTTTCTTACCATCATTGATTTTAGTTTTTGTCTACTTTTACAAACTTTTATTTAATTTGCTCGTGGTGTTTGTCACTGTGAAAAAAACTCAACCATCAATTTTTTAAACTATTTTTGATAAGCTATTGAGGACAAATCTTACACACATATTTAAGTGAAAATACAATGTAGAAAATTGACCTTCTTCAAAATTCAATTTAGATTTTTTTTTAAATGTTAAAATGGTTTTTCTTACATATTTTCATTTAATGAACAAATGAAAAACCTCAAGGTTACAGTTTGTACAATTGGTTAAAATAGGGGGAAAAATGATTTACATTAAGATTATATGAAAATTATAACGTAATTTCTGATTTTTTGGCGATTTTTTTTAAAAGCACTACATTTTTTGAACACTTCGTGTTCACTATTTTAAATTTTCAATATCCAAAAATGCATCTTTCATAAAGTTTTGAAATTTTCACAAAGTATAAAACAGACCCTTTGTCTTCTTTTAAAACAAGAACGATAATAAGGCATTAAGTAAGCAACTTCTTAGTATTTAAAAAAAAAAAAAAAAAATATGCTGCAGTATGACTAAGTAGAAAGAGAAGTTTCTATTCTTCATTGGCATTCCTTCAGAAGCATGGTCTTGAGGTCATGGTGTGATTATAAGTTGCACTGTTTTTATATTTACTACATAGATTACTTTATCATTGATTCAATTTATTATTTATTTGCCTCTTCTGGAATAAAGAAATACTTCCAAAGAAATTAAATTTACCACAGAAGTCTTTGCCTTTTATAAATGCCATTCCTGACTTCCTTTAAAGAAAATTCATTTTATATTTAGTATTCATTTCATTTTAATAAGTTCCCTTTTCCTCTCTGATCCACTGTATAAAACAAGAGTTTAAGGATGAACTAGTATTTAAAATTTGAAAAGAATCTGTATTACATTTATAATTTGTCCCATTTTATAAGTTTATATACATATTTCCCAACATTTCCTTTAAAAATTGAATTTTTTTCAATTTTTTGCAATATGTAATATTATATTCTCTTTTTTAGTCCAAAAGGGCTTTGTCCCTGAGGGACTATTGTTTTTGTTTTGCGATTTTGCGTTGAATCACTCTAAATGTCTGTTTCACTTTTCAAACTGTTGCCATCTAATATTATCGCCTTATATTATATTTGAAGAAATTAAATAATAAAGAATCTACATAAATGTATGTATTTTCTCGCATTGTGATAAAACAATGGCACCTAGAGCCATCAAATTTTAAATGACGTAATCCTACTGCAAATATGGACATCTGGAAATCCAAATTTGAAATTTGGAATTTGTTTTATTATAAATTTCATATTTTGTAAAACTCAAGGATTCCAAAGGGAGCAATGGCAACGTTGTACAGAAAAAACATTTTTATCTCAAGCGTGTGAGACTGTGTGTTGGAAATTCCAAAGATATCCTTAATTTAAAATTGCTTTGCGATATTGCTCTTGAACTGAATTTTATGATTTAAGTGCGAAGAACATGATATTTAATAAATAAAGGTAACACACAAAAGTTTTTTTTTATTCTAAAAATTATAACCTCCAAAAATGTATCTATTATAAAAATTTCAAACTTTCACAGGTTATAAAACATGCTTCGGATAGTATGGTATAGTGATCAGGGAAGCCTACTACTGTACCGAAGGGTCCATGTTTGAATCCCTGGGAAGGCATGGATCTTTACAAATGTATACTCTCTTTGCAGCATGGAACTTGGAACTTGGAAACAGCTTTGCAGCACTCTAAATTTATGGCGAGCCCAATGCCCTCTCGAGAGGTTAGCAGTAGGAGAAGAGGGCTCACAGCTGTCCCACCGGAGCGCTCTCCGTCAAAATTGGGGCTGGAACTGAGCAAAGTCATACTGTTACTGTTATCTGTATGGCGCTCCAAGCTCTTGCCAAAGACAGGCGCAATGTTGCTCTCCTTACCATGATAGATTTTGTGGGCTTGTTCTGATCTTACTGTCAGATAAGTGAGTAAGTCACAACACAACACATAATACATAAAGTACAAGAAAGCATTATAGACTATGTGGTAATTTAAAGACAAAAAATATTATTGACAGAAAAGTCAAGCATATGTTGCTGTTAGCAGAGTAAAGTCACATGAAGGATTTAAATTTCAAGAGTTGGACAGAAGATTAAAGAAAAACAGAAGAAAGTAATGCATTAGCATAAATTGACTGAATGTGAGCATACTAAGATTAGATAGTCTAAGATTAAATTCATGACTCTGTAGATAGTCTAAGATTAAATTCATGACTATTTTTATCATAAATAATACATAAATTTTAAGGTAATTTTAGAAATAAAATACTTTATGGTTGTGATTATGACAGAAATGTCATATGTAAAAATACTGTTTATTCATAGCATAAAATAATTTTTTAATTAAATAGCTTGACTTATATTGTGTGAATGATATTAAAAAGTAGAAAATAAAAAGTGTTGGCATATATGTATTAATTCGACCACCTTGCTAAAATTTGGTGATATTTTACAGATGAAAAAGAATGATGACATAAGTCATTGCTGTCCAACTTTAAGTGGCCCAGGGGGTACTTTAAAAAAAATTACGGTTTGGAGGGCCGCATTATAAAATACTTTGTATGCAACTTTATCAGTAATTTTTCATAGGTATGGTATACAAAAATCATACTTCCATAGGTATGGTATACAAAAAAATGCCTTCGTATTATTATTTTTATTTATTAAAAAATATATCAAGATTACAAATACTTACAAAAAATTAGTGGGATTTGAGGTTGTTGGTTTTCACTAACTAATGCATCAATATTAGCTTTAATACTTGTTGTTGATAAACGAAGCAACTGAGTAAGTGACTTATGAGAGAGCGAACATATATATTTTGGCTATATAAATTTCATGTTGGAAAAGCTGCTTTCACAAAGATACGTGCTTAACAGCATTGTAAGCCCTAAGTTTTGCGAGTTTGGGCCCCTGACAGCAACTTGGAAAAGTCTAATCCAGTTCTTCCTTGTTAAAAATGATCTGATTGCAAATCACCCAATTCCAGTTGAAGGTCTGCTCTGCTTATGTTCTCAACATGGGAGAATTTAGGTGGAGCAAAATTTTTAGAATTCAGAGAAACATTGAGCAACAAAACTGAGGGATTGCATAATCTTTAGAATTTAGGAAAGACACTGTGATGCAAAATTTAGAGACAACAACACTCTTAGAATTTAGTGAGAAACGGTAAGAAATGACAATAATATAACACAAGTTTTTCATTGTGCTGGCAATGCAACAAATCATCAATGAACTAATGGATAACAAAAATCTGTAGTATTGTTCTAAATCGAGGAATATCACTATTAGTAGTAAAGAAAGTGACTGACAGGTTGCTGAGAACGAAAAAGATTTGATCGATAATTTAGTGGGAATTCTTAATATGACAATTACAGGACTTTAACAATGGAATTTTTAAACTGAACAAGAAACTATGTCCAACTACAAAATTAAAAAGAAAGTATTAGCAGAAAAAAATGAAACAACTTACATTGAAATAAATGCTTGACAGAGCAAAGAAATAAGTACTGAGCTCCTTTTGTAAATTTTGAAATTCTTTTAAATAAGTTTCATAAACCACTGTTTCATATTTTTAATTTTTATATTTATTATTGCCATCCATACTAGATTTAAACTGATGATTTTCTGGAAAAATTCAAAATTGCTGAAGTTTCGACGAGTCTGGACCTTGGACTTTGTACTGCATTGAATTACAAATCTATTCCCCTCCTAATACATAATAAAAACTTCTTCCTGTAAATATCAGGCTTTTTTTCTTCTTTTGAAGTCTCAAGACTTAATAACACTGTTTGGAGGGAATGGAAAGTTTGGTACAGCACTCTCCCGTAACTATCATATCCTAGGAAAGTTTGGTTTGGTTTGGTATTTAGACAGAAGTGAAGAAAAATTCATATTTCACAGTAAAAGAATGAATAACCCATTTTCAAGCATTGTTTCCTTGATGGAAGTGATAAAAAAAAACTGCATTATTGGTAAGTATTGCATTACTGAGATTTCATCGAATACCTGTTGCATATTTTGTCTTCAATTATTCTTTAGTGATACACTTACAAACATAATGATCTTCTGGAATTTGAAGCTTTATTAAAGAGAAATTGTTACTTTTAAATTTTAAAAATCAAGTCTCACATATTCTCAAACTTACTACTCTGGGATAAACTTCAATTATGTTATACCTGCTAGGTAAATTCCATTAGAAAGTCCTCTACACAGGCATCTCTCAATTTAAGGTGATAGCCCTCAGGTGCTTTGCCATATTAAATAGCCTAACCTAATCTATTAGCTGCAGCAGCATTTTTTGTTTTATGTGTAAAGTAAACAATGTCCTACATATTCTCAAATTATTAGACGACTTGCCTTAACAAACCATTCAGCACAATACTGCGAATTTATATCTACACTACTAATATAAATTAATAAACATAGTAGTATACTGAAATGCTGATAATCTGCTTATTGCAGAAAGTGAAATTTCTCAATGGCAGAAAAGATTGACAAATAGAATGATTTCTTACATGGTAGGTAGGTAGGTAGTAGGCAGGTAATGTTTTTTCGGAATTTGACTGAAGTCTTTGGAAATGTTCGGACATACCTAAAACTTACCTATTCAAAATTTATATAGCAAAAACACAAAGAGTAATTTAACTTTCTTCAGCAAAACTAAAATGTAATTACTTGGAAATGCTGCAATCTGAATACACATACAGGCACATAAACTAAAAATCAAAATTTATTTATTTTTTCTTTTTTTATCAAATCTATTTATTATCTAGACATATCACACATTGCTTCTTAATTATCTCAAGCAAATGTCTAATCAATGAAGACATATGTAATATAATAAGATTTAAGAAAGAAACATAACTCTGGAAATCCTTTAATTATGATACACATTTATTTCAAATAAAAATATATTTACATTTATTTCAGGTAAAAATTATCATAAAATAATAGTATCAGTACTAAAAATGTCACAAAAAGATTTGTAACTCAATGTAATGCCTTTCTCTAAAAAAGTGAAATGTTTCCTTTTGCATTTCAGATAGTTTTAGAAATAATATACAAACAAAACCTTAAAACTTACTTTTCCCTCTTCAGATTTCAAAAAATAGATGCAATCACCATTTAATTTATGCGTTTTTCCATCTGTTAAAATAAGAGGCATTTGCAACTTGATTCCTGCAGTGGTTTCTGAAGACACATTAGAAATAAGAAATTATTCAGAATAAATCTAAATTGCTTTCACAATGTATTAGTTAATAAATATTACCAGTGTTTCAATTACAGACAGCTAGTAAAATGATATTCCAAAAATAAAGCAATTACTAAAGATAAGAAGAGGCCTAAAAATTTCTTTTTTTTTAATTTTTTTTTTATTTATTTATTTATTTCTTATTTTTACATATAATAAACCCAAATAAGCTGACTGAAAGCCTAAAAATTATATTGCAATAGATGCTTTGAAAAGAAACTGCTCTGGATTTATAACACATTTTATCAGTCATTTATAGCCTCTATGTTCTTGAATATTTTCAGAATAAGCAAAATTCATTAATGAAAAAGTCTTGCATACATCCTTAAAAACAAGTATACAAACATTAATTTGAATTTCAAGCATTTAAATATTTCTCTTAAAGAAATTCCATTCAGTTCAATTTTCTTAAATATTTTTTACTATAATCTGCTTTATTATGTATTTGTTAGTGGAAATATTTAGAATAAAAAATTAACATGAAATTTTAATATTATGCATGAATGAATGAAACAATGAAAATGAAATGATGAAACAATATACACAGAAATCAATTTTTTCCCATTCTACTCTACTTTATGCATAGCTAATTGTACTCCACTTCTAAGGTGCACAAACCACTAGAAAGAATGCTGATTTATTGCAAAAACATGATCAATTTCTGTTTAATAAACAGAAAAAAATTTAAATTGAAAAAAAAAAATCACAGAAAAGGACCTAAGAAAAAGCTTCGATTTGTATAAAATTTCTAACCGTTGAAAGAATGTAAACATCTGAACATGCAAAAAAGAAAAATGTACGCCGACATAGGAAAATACACTTACCCCCCCCCCCCCAAAAAAAAAAGAAACACTGACACAGAACAAAGATTGACACTGTTATTAGAAATAACATTCAGGTGCCCATATGGAAGTTTTCATATACAAGGTGATAAATGTAATTAAGTACTGACATAAGCCAACATTTATATTGTCATTAATTTGAACGTTAAAAAAATGAGTTTTCATAGAAAGCATCAAATATCCCACTTTAATGATAAAACTTATTTCATTTTGACTTAATCTTAATAAGCCTTAATCATTTATCTTAGCTATTAAAATCATTACACCATGAAAGAAAGCAGTTAGCAGAAGTAATTTTGAAATATAGAACAGCCTTTCTCTAAAATACACCCATTTCACCACTGCTTGACTGTCATTTTCCCCCCTCCTTTCCAAAACTAGGAAAATACATATACATTTATTTGCATTATTAAGATTCTTACTTCCTTGTAAAAAGTAAAAAAGTATTCCAATAACGAATATTTCGGGTATTATATTTCAACGGAAATATCATTTTGACCGTTCTCGAATCCATTTGAACGATAACTTTTGTGTACGCGCGGACAGAATAAAGCATTCATTTTTCCAAAATGGATTGTAAAATGGATTTAAGATCATTTCAAAATGGATTTTTTTCGTAACGTCTATACATACGTATGAAAAACGATTAGCCGTAGAACGTTAAAATTTTATGTACGGAACTACTATAGCATCTAGTTGTACACCTCCTTTTTTATTGCAATGGGCAATACCAAACATATGTGTATATATACATATATAATTATAAAACAATTCTTTTGAAAACAAAATATAAACAAGTCTAGTATTTCCACGCATTAAGCTTCAGAAAAAT